CGGTGAGGCTGAGCAGGGAGCACTGGAGCATCGCAGGCGGGGGGTACCAGACCTCCGGCACAGCATCAGCCCTGCTGACGGCATCGTGGTCCCCCCCTTCAGCCCAGCGGCACCCGTGTGCCGATGGAGATTGTGCTGCTGAACAAGGTGGGCTCTGGCTTCCGCGGCGTCATCCACCTCCTCGACTGGTTTGAGCTGCCCGACAGCTTCGTGCTGGTGCTGGAGCGTCCGGAGTCATCGCAGGATCTCTTTGACTTCATCACGGAGCGGGGGTCCCTGTCCGAGGAGCTGGCGCGGGGGCTTTTCCGCCAGGTGCTGGAGGCCGTGCGGCACTGCAACAACTGCGGCGTCCTGCACCGCGACATCAAGGACGAGAACATCGTCATCGACCTCTCCACCGGCGAGCTCAAGCTCATCGACTTTGGTTCCGGCACCTTCCTCAAGGACACCGTCTACACCGCATTTGACGGTGAGCCCACACCCAGGGGATGCTCCCAGTACCGGACACTGCACGGACCAGCCTGGCTGGGCACCGGAGATTCCCGCGTTTGCTGCGGGGGGAGAGTGGGGGAATTTAAGATTCAGCTGGCAGCCAAGTTGCTATTTGGCACGGGGCGGATGTTGTGAAACGGGAGCCGGCTCCTGGCGCTGCCTGTTTTTTTTTTTTTTTCTTTTTTGGCTAAGGCATGGGGGGGGGAAAGGCGTGGTTTTTCCCCACCCATGAGGTGTTTTTTTTTTTCCCTTTTGCATGTAACGGTCGGGCCTTCCCCAGGCCCGTGCTGCCCTCTTCCGGCACTGGCGGCTTTTTTTTACAACCCAAAGTTTGTAAACAAGAGTCACGTGCTGGCGAGGGGGCGGCGGGTCACAGTGTGTGTGTGTCCCCGCATCCCCGCGGATGCTCAGGCAAGGATGCAGGAACAGGCAGCATCCGCCTGACGAGCTGCGCCTGTATCCCGTAGGAACGCGGGTGTACAGCCCTCCAGAGTGGGTCCGCTACCACCGCTACCACGGCCGTCCGGCCACCATCTGGTCCCTGGGCGTGCTGCTCTACAACATGGTTTGCGGGGATGTCCCCTTCGAGCAGGACGAGGACATCATCCGGGGACAGCTCTTCTTCCGACGGCGGGTTTCTCGAGGTGGGTACTCGGCTTCGTGGCAGGGGACGGATAGCGGGTTTTGAGAGGTGGTACCGGATACACGAGCATCCCGCTCTTACGCTGTGGAGGAGGTTGATCTCCCATAGGTAGTTGGAGGAGGTGGCACGTGTCCTGCCACCCTGCTCTCCTCCAAAACAGATAATCGATTGGGAGGTTTGGGTGCAGCTCTGAGCACACCCAGCATGGTGTGGGCACTGCGGACAGTGGGACAAGGCGGACAGGAGCCTTCTCCGACTGACCAGCAGTTTCTGGTCTTTCTCCCCAGAGTGCCAGGACCTCATCGGGTGGTGTTTGTCCATGCGGCCCTCGGACAGGCCATCTTTGGAGGACATTTTCAACCATCCTTGGCTGCAAAGCATTCACCTGCCCCAGGAGACAGCAGAGATCCACCTGCACAGTTTGATCCAGGAGCCTGGCAAGTAACAGCTCCATGCATCTCCTGCCCAGAAGAAGCAAAGAAAACCAGACAACTTCCTCGTGACCGTAGCACTGAGTAGGGATCATCAGTTGGGAATACGCACATCTTGTCCTGGAGCTCTGCTGGAAACCTGCTCTTCCAAGCAGTGATGGCCACATCTTGTCCTGGAGCTCTGCTGGAGATCTGCTTTTCCAAGCACTGATGGCCACATCTTGTCCTGGAGCTCCGCTGGAGACCTGTTCTTTGAAGCGCTGGTGGCCCCAGTCCAACCCAGCTGTTCTGGGCTCCATCTGAATGACCCTGTCTCATTTGATGTTTTGCCAGTAAATTTTTGGGGGGGGGGTTGCTTCTGGTTTTGGAGGCTCCCAAGTGTCTTCCCAACCTGCTGAATTTGGGACCGCCAGAGGATCGGAGACCTTATTGCGAGAAAAGCTTCAACAGGGGAAAACTGACTGGGGGGAGGGCAGGTACCGTGGCTGAATGGCTGTCTTCTCCGCTGTCACCGTGCTCGAGTGCCTTCAGATGTGATCTGGGCTGTGCTGGAGGAAAGACTTGAATTTTCCTACACTGCTGCTTTTCCAAGACTCGCCTGGCTATAGAGTTCCTTTTCCCTTTTCAAAAAGAAAACGGGTCAGAAGATGCTTGGGAGCCAAGCGGGTGATGCCTCGCCTCCCGTGCCTCCATCTCGCCTGGATTTTCTGGGCTTCTTTGCTTCCCTGTGCCCTCACAAATGCACAAACAATGCAAACCAACAGAGCTGTAAATGTGTACAAAGTTCTATAGGAGCAAAGCTTGAAGTACAGTTGTTCATAGGGATAACATTTTACCTTGTTTCTTTTTTCCCAGTTTTTGTTTTTAATTTATTTTCATGATTTTTTGGTTGTTTTTTAAAGGAAGAGTTCTAGCCGGTAGGATAACTTATTTATTTATTTATAATTCACGTGGGTTTCCAACCCACGTCTTGCTTCTACAGCTGCTGATCCCCCGGTTTTCCATTCAGCTCTTCCCTCCATGTCTGTCCTGTGTCCGTCCTCAGGCCCGTAGTGTTTCTGGCGGAGGTGCGGAGCGGCTGCCTGCTCCCCAGCTCCTTGTGTACATAGTTCTGGGTGCTCTTGTTTCCTTGCCACATGCAGATCTCCGTTTGCAGATGAGTTGGGTTTCCCCACAGGTGTCTTGGCTGGGGCTGGGGAGGGGGGAGCCGGCCCAGGCTGTCCGCGCTGTCGAGTCTTTCCATGTAACCAAGTGTGTAGCCGGTGGGTTTTTTTTGTTAAGAGTTCATATTGTACAGGGGAATTCAGAAATCTTATTTTTTTTATGCGGTTTTAAATAAAAACAAAAAAACACTCGATGTGATGGAGACATCCCTTTCTTGCGGGGCGGGATGAAGGGTGCCGCGAGCGTGTGGGGTACCGGTGACCACACTGTGGCCACTGCGAGGACCGCCGGTTCACCTCCAGCCAAGAGTGACTCCAAAGCTCCCACCCAAAGGTCTGCCGAGCGGCGTTAACCAGGACCAGCCAGCCAAAAGCACCACAGGGAAGGCTGGATCCGGCCCTCAGCGGGTTGTTTCCAGCACCGACAGCTCCTGCCGTGTCTCCTGGGAGAGATCAAAGGGGTGTGGAGCCCTTTGCCTTCCCATTCATCCGCAGGCTGGTGCGGAGCATGTGCTGGAGACGGCAAGTAAACAAACATCAAAGCAGCCTTACGAAACGCCGGATGTTGTCAGCCAAATTCAATTTTGGTAAGGCAGATCCTGTTGCTCCGGCTCTGTTGGCGCCGAGCGGGTGTTGCATGCCGGGTGCCGGTGGGTGAAGAAAGCTGCCGGCGGGCTGTCCCCACCTCCAGCACGGCTGCGGCCAACGCGGAGCCAGAGGAAGTCGATCTTCAAATTACCAGAAGTCGGTCGCTATCAGTCAGCAGTGGTAACGCTTCGCTCGAGCTTTTACCCTCCAAACTGTCAAACACCACTTCCCAGCTCCACGGTGCTTCGGCTTCAGGGGTGGTGGGTTTCTTGTGTTGGTTTGGTTTTGTATTGTGTTTTTTTGTTTTTTGGGGGGTTTTTTTTGAGATTTTTATTTTTTTCATTAATTTCATGTGCTGAATTTTGAGGTTCTGGTCCCACTTGACCTCATGGAGCACCTGCTGCTGCATGCACACAGGGCTGTGTGTCTGCTCCAAGGAAGGGGCACTTTGCCCTTTTTGCAGGTTACTTTGTAAGTCCCCCCGGTCAGATCTGACCTGGAGCAGGGATTTCCTCGGCTTGCCCCATGGCTTTCTTGCTTAAAAAGCCCTTGTCCAGGGAGTGGTCCTTTTCCCCGGCTCACCCCCAGCTTGCCAGCACCGCTCTCTGAGCCATGGGACCGCTACCGGAGGGAACCAGTGGTCCTGGAGCCACATCCCAGCCTTGTAGGTGACCTGGCGTGCTGTGTCACCGCTGTGCCTTCAGCAGAAAGTGTTAATTCGTTTTGTTTGGTTTGCTTTTTTCTTTATTATTTTTTCTTCTTTAACTCAGCTGCATCTTTCATCTCCTCCTCAGGGCTGCTAGAAGCAGGAAGCACGGCTCCAAACGCCTTCAAAGTTCAGACCTATTTTGAGATGTGGTTTGTATTTAACCTCCTCTCTCGCTTTTTCCCCTGACCATCCGGGAAGCTGCTCTTACACGAAAGCAAACCTCCCTGCCACGCACGCCGCCTGCTACCGCAAGGACCCTGAGCCCCTTGGGCGGCCGCTGTCCCACCCAGCACCACCGAATCGCTATCGCGGCTGCCCTGGCTGCAGGCTGAGCTCGGCCCACCCTTCCCGTAAACGCTCGCTAACTGCTGTGGCGTTTCTTAGAAAACTTGCCACAGAAAGGCCGAGCAGGTCCGGTGCGGGGCTGGGGTGCTGATAGTCACTTTGTTTCCGCCTGTTGCTGATGATTTTGTCCCTGCCAGCTTGTGCTGCAGGAGGGGAACAGTGCCATCGTGTCCCCTGGTGAGATCCCGCTGCCCAGGTACCGTCCTGTCCTGGCAGGGTGAGATGGTGCCTTCAAGGTTTGGGTGCCGGAGAAGGATCCCCTGTGCACCAGCCCTCCTGGGCAGTAACACCTTCACGAGGGCAAGAGCCACCAGATTTGGGCCCCACGGGGAAAGGACCACGGTAGATGTGATGGGAAACCTGAAGATGGGCAGCTGCAGCATCGGCTGCCTGTTGCTCCCCTCCATGCTGCCCATCATCATGGCACGGGGACTGCACACAGGGGCTGGAGGAAAGGAAAAGGCCTTTTCACCCCTCATTGCCTCCTTGATGAGGGGATGTTCGCTGCCCTTCAGGGCTGTCAGCTATGGTAGGAGAGGATGAAGACACAGGAGTTACCCAGCAGGAAGTGATTCAGAGCCAGCATTGCTCTCCCACCTCCCTTTCACTTTTTATTGATCACTGGTGTCAGCAGGGGAAGCACCTACAGTTCAGAAAATGGGGGAAAAAAAATGATGGAGCAGGACCAGGATGAGATTTCAGACCATTGGACCTCCTGCTCTGGGAGCCCTAGTGTACCTGTGGATGACTGAGGACTTGCAGAGGGCCAGCACTCATCACACCTGTGTCTTCCCGTACACATCCATCCCCAGCTAAGACACTTGGTGATGCAGAAAGGACTGGTCAGGGGAGCCTGGAGCCACAGCAAAAGGGATATTTATATTTTCCACCTCCCTTTCTGGGAATGGGAGATGAGCAACAACCAAACATCTGCCACGGCTGGAAAAACGCAGATGAGCATCGAGGAAAAAAGCTGCCCGGGAAGCGGGGGCCAGGCTCGCCGCAAGGACCTGAAGAACTGGAGACTCGGAGGTGGCATCTCACCCCGTGTCCCGTCACAAGGAAAACATCCAGCTGCCTCCAAGGTGGTGTCTGAAACCCTTTGGCCCTTCTCGGCACAGTGAGTCACAGGAGCTATTTTAAACACCTGCCTTAGGAGGAGGTGAATTATCAGCAAACCAGGTGTCCCAGGGCTGCAGCTCCCTGGTAATGAAGCCTTGTGGAAGTCGGTCTCCGAGTGCTTTGCCGACGACCTGTGCGGCAATAGCATTATCTCCATGGGGCATGTGGGGAAACTGGGGCACGGTGTCCCAATTCGATGGAGATCTTTTGTGGTACAGCTTGGGCTTGCCTGCCTTTCCCTGCCCTATCCCTCCTCAGGCTGGGACTGGCCATGGAGGAGCTCCGAGCCTCAGACCTCCAATGTCCCCATGTCCCCTGGGCAGGGGATTTAGTCCTCCAGGAGCCGAAACCAAAGACCTGCAACCCTCTCAGCGTGTCCCTTCCCCGACCTCCTCCAAAAAAAAAAAGCACTCATGCTGTGAGGGCAAGGGGGACCAGGTGCTGGTTTCGGGCACCTGTAGCCCCACTTGAGACCAGAATCTGGTGTTTTGGGGTTTACACCGACTTTCCCAAGAGTGGCATCTGTGCTAATGCTGCCTCCGTGACACATCGAAACTGCACCGCTTGGCCTGAGAGTTGGTGGGGATTTTCATGAGGAAAAAACACTTTATTCACCATAAAAAAAAACACCCAAACAACCACAAAACCTTTCCGGTGTGTAAAGCTGAGTCGAATTTAGCAGCTTCAGTTAAAGAAATATATTTTTAAAAGGGGTAATCAGAGTGTTTGTTTCGTCCTTTTCCAAGTTTTTGGTCCCCTTCCTCCAGAGTAGTATTTTTGTGTCCTTAATCACTGTGTTTATTACAGTTAGGAGGGGGTTAAGTGACCCGAAAAATGAAACAGCAGCTCCTGTTTCAAATTGAAGCAGCCGCTTCGGCTAACCTGAAATGACACGGAGGCGCATGCGTGTGAATTTGAAGGGCGAGCGGGTTGCAGCCACGGAGATCTCACCCTGCTGCAAAACCTGTGAGAAAAACAGAACCAGCAAAATATCATTTCAAGTCAACCCCTGCCAAAATTCTTCATCTTCCCCCCCCC